AAAGTTGAATGTTGCCCCCACAAGGCTCTTGTTCTTTTGTGTTGCCAGCTACATAGAAGCTTGTCTGGACTACTCCTCAGAAACTACTGGTGCAATTTCATCCAAACTTTACTGGAGTGATCATTACCAACAACCCGTAAGAAAAAAACTCCTGTTTTACAATTGTAAAACGACTGAAAAACACCTGTTTTTTGTAAAAATACAGGTCTTAGGGACCTGTGTTTGCTGAATTTGACATTTTGACTAAGAAATACAGGTGTATTTTAACAATTTTACAGGTGTATTTTTGAGACAAGACCTGTGTTTTAGATGTTTACATGTAATTCTGATACTTAGAATATATTGAGCTGATATTTTGTGCTGAAAATAATCTAAGTCCAAAACTACAACTGTATTTTCAATGATACAGATGTACATTACACACTTAGAAAATCTGTTAGAGAAATTGTTCTTATTTAAATACTTAATATCTTTGATGCAATTGTACAGACTGCATGCACATGATTTACACTTAGGATTTAATTTTTAACATTCATAATGTAAGCAACTTTGAACTAAGAGTGCTATCTAAATTTGAATATACATGTACAATTTGTATATGATTATTTAGTTTTAAAATATATGAGATAGTTTAGTTCACATAGGCCTGTCCTTGTTGTTCTTTTAAGTATAAAAAGAACAACAACAAAAACTATAACAACAACAAACTGGTACATGTTCTTATTCAAGACTCCAAATTTGCAGACATTATGAGTTATTCTTCAAGTTAATTGTGTATGAAATAAACTCATACATTAAGCTCTCTCAATCTAGTTTGTAATATATATGACCTGTTAAGTAGGATAAATAAATAAACACTGCCTCTACTACTCTACAATGATTTTACACAACTGACTGATTTTACACCTTGCACTGAACAGTCTGATAATGGTAACCACTTGTTTTCCCACCATAAATTCTCCTACAGTCTAGACTCTTCCATTTGATTTTTTCTGGGGGGAAACAACTTTATAAATTTTAAATGAAGTCTGTTTAGAAGGAATTGCAAAGTTATCTTTAAAAACTTATTATGAATTTGAAATTCTACATTACATTTTTTTTCTCATATGTCTATATGATTGTGAAAGTAAATGATGGGTGCTTTGATTTGTGGAATATCCCTGTTTAACATTATGCATGATGAATCAGTCCAGTTCTACAGTTGTAAAATTTGAAATCTGAGGTATTTGTGGAAATAGTGCTCATTTATCACAAAGGATCTTATTGATAATTAAGAAATTGTGGAGATATAAGCAATTTTCTAGGCAATATTTTGTATAAAATGTTTGGGTGAAAATTCTTAAACTTTTCAAAGAAAAAAATCAAGACTACAGTCTTGTTAATGTAAATAACAATATTCTGGATTATGCTCAGAAGAAATTTGAATGCTGCATTATGACCTTGGATAAGAAGATGAAAATAAGAATTATCAGGTAATAACTTTTGGATACATTTATGCAAAAAACAAGTATTATATCAGGCCTGCTAGCAATTATAATCTATCAACTTTATTCTGAAAAATAATATTTTACATTCTATTTACCCTTTAAATGTAAATTTTGTCACCTGAATAGCATAGTTTAATTAATACAATATTGACTGTTGCATGCTTTATATTTTTGAATACAGCCTTGAGATGATATTAAATACAATTGTTTTTAACTTTTAATTAATAGGTCATAATTTATTTCCATATCTTTTATAATGAACTATGAATTTTGTTCTTAAAGGTCACAGTACACCCTCTACATGAAACAAAGCAGACATGGTAAAACGAAATTGTAGTTGAACTAATTAGAATAGTTTTGACAGAAATTCATGGTTAAACAAAATAAGTCTACCTTAATTATTAAAGTTAAGTTACCAGTTTACCACTAATAGAAACAGCTCAGTAAATATCTTTTATCAGCAATGCATTAAGTAGGAAAATTAAAACATGTATTCATTAATTGTCAAAACATAATTATATAGGTTTAAGTTAATTGGTACGTATTTAAAAAAATGAATTGGCCAGGCACTGAATATGTGCATTGATGACATTAGTACAAAATGCAAGCATTGAACGTTACATGATTATCATTTAGTATTCATTTAATGATAAACTATTGATGTTTTATTTGATTCAGATGAAGCTGCTTTAAACAGGATCTTAAATCACAATGACAGGGACCAGTTAAGAAGAGAAAACACTTGCAAAGGCTTTATTCCAAGTACCTATATATGTAGACATTAATTTGGCAAATACTGGCAATAAATTTTTACAAGAAAAAAAAACTTTATTAGCATTTGTGAATTTTTCTTCAAATGAAAGGATATGCCTGAAGTGTTATTCATGACTTGGATTTTATTGATGCAGTATCAGTAGTGTAAGACTGTAACAGAATGTAATAAAATATAGTAATCCATTTAAGACAAAGTGAAAATTTGTTATATATATCCCCATCTTTAGTGATAGTGACTGTGATTCTAGTTCAGTGATATTTCCGCTCACCTTAGCACAGAGTGCCATCGTGAACTATTGTGATTGTATAATGTCTGCTATTTGTACCTTAATCTTGTAAAAAGATATTTTCTCCTCAACCATTTCTTATTTTTAAAGATTGAGTAGCAACAAATGCACAAAATTTCTGGCCAAAGTGTATTTATCCCAATGACAAAGATATTTGCACCAAACATGCCAAATATGTTTGCATTTATGTGTGGTTTTCATCCCTTAAATAATAAGGGCACCTGTATTTTATTTTTGACCTGTAAAATTTTACACCTGTATTTTTGAGCTGAAAAAATTTTACACCTGTATTTTTAGACCTGTAAAATTTTACACCTGTATTTTAAACAGCTGTATTGTTTGCATTTTGTACTAATGTCATCAATGCACATATTCAGTGCCTGACCAATTCATTTTTTTAAATACGTACCAATTAACTTCAACCTATATAATTATGTTTTGACAATTAATGAATACAGTTATTCCCTTTGTTACTTTTCCGTTGCATTTTTCTTAACTAGAGCATAACTTGAAAACCACTAGTTGGAATTCAATCAGCTTCATACAATGGTCGAGCACATTGAAAGAAAGCGCAGTGCACAATAACTGTAGCTCCATCTTTACTAATTACAAAGTTATTGCCCTTTGATACTTTTCCTTGTCCAGAGCATTACTTGAAGAACACTAGTTGGAATTTAATACAACTTCATACAATGGTCAAGCACAATAAGAGGAATTGCAGTGCACAAGAACCAAAACTCTATCAAGAGTAGTTATAGAGTTATTGCCCTTTGTTACTTTTCCATCGTTTTTTTTCTTGACCAGAGCGTAACATGAAAACCACTGGTTGGAAATGAAAATACCTTCATACAATGGTCAAGCATAATAAGAGGAAGTGCAGTGCACAAGAACCATTACTCTGTCTAGAGTAATTATACAGTTATTCCCTTTGTTACTTTTCCGTTGCATTTTTCTTGTCTGAAGCATAACTTGAAAACCACTCGTTGAAATTCAATTCAACTTAAAACAATGGTCAAGCACATTGAGTGAAAGCGCAGTGTACAAGAACCATAGCTCCATCTTGACTAATTACAGAGTTATTGCCCTTCATTACTTTTTCTTGTCCAGTGCATAACTTGAAAACTTACAATTGAAATTCAATGCAACTTCATGCAATGGTCGAGCACAATCAGAGGAAGTGCAGTGCACAAGAACCATAACTCTATCCAGAGTAATTATAGAGTGATTGCCCTTTGTTACTTTTCCTTGTTGCAGAGCATAACATGAAATGTACTGGTTGGAATTCAATACAAGTTTGTACAATGGTCAGGTATATTGAGAGGAAGCGCAGTGCACAGGAACCATAACTCATTTTAGAGTAATTGCCCTTTGTTACTTTTTATTGTCCAGTTCTTAACTTGAAAATTAATGGTTGGAATTCAATGCAACTTCATACAATGGTCAAGAGCAGTGGAATGAAGTGCAGTGCTCAAGAACCATAACTCTATTTGGACTCTTTTTGGATTAATTACATAGTTATTGCCCTTTGTTACTTTTTTGTCCAGAGCATTACATGAAAACTAATTGGAATTCAATGCAACTTCATACAATGGACAAGGGCAATAAGAGGAAGTGCAGTGTACAAAAACCATAACTCCATCTTTAGTATTTGCAGAGTTATTGCCTATTGTTCATTGTCCGGTGCATAACTTAAAAACAGATGTTTGGAATTCAGTGAAACTTTATACAATGGACAAGCACAATGAGAGGAAGTGCAGTGCTCTATCTGGACTTCTTACAGAGTAGGCCTAATTCAATAACACTTTATCAATTGTCATCCAAAGTCACATTTAGTGATATCTCTAGTTTTAAGATTAATATTTCATTACGCTTTTCCATATGTGGATGTCGGTCCTACCCCCTTCTTAAATGTTTATATTAAAAAATAAACAGGTAAGTGTAATATGCAAACAAAAACAATAATATATGCAACATACTGAAATGAAATAAGATTCCTACCTTTTAACATCGATCCAAAAATAGTCTCCTGAATCACATACTGAGTATTGTAAGCTAGAATCTTTGATGGTAATTAAAACAACTGTATATCTCCTGACTGCATGCAGTTTACAAAATTAGCGTTTGAATATTGTAAAAGAATACATTTGTATTTGTTATGATATTTGCTTTATCTATATTAACTCTTTGTACATGATATTTATATTAGAATTTGTCAAATATATGTTGTACGCTGATTTGTGCTTATGTACATCTTTGTTTGTCCTTTACACTTTTGTTGTCATTTATTTCAACTAAAATAAAACTTATTATATTTACTTTCGAAAGATTTTCAAAAACTTAAAAACCTATGTTTACAAAATTATTCTACCGAAACCAGGAAAAATCTGATTTTTTTTATTTCAAAATGACTCAATTCAGGTTTAAAGCGGAAGAAAATAATTCATGCATGAATGTTGTTAAAGTAAATTACAAATATAAGTTAAAAGTCTTATTGTATTGTAAACTGTATGTAAACAGAAGTTTCTACATTTGAAACAAGGATACATGTAATACAAATGTAAAGGTAAAGATTTTAACTTGTCAAATTAATATTTTTCTAAAATTTTCACAACAAGCATTTAAGTAGTCAGTGACAATTTTACCGGGAGATGAAGAAAGAATTGGCCATTAACTTTGTGGATTTTTATATCAGAAAGACACCCCGCTGTATGATGGTACCCTGGTACCTGGTCCTGTATGATGGTACCTTGTCCTGTTAATTCTGATGGAGAAGCTGGTACAATGTCACGCGGCAATTATTCCTTTTGATTTGTGTTACTATTTATTTTTCCATTTTATACAGTATGTAAAGAAACATATTGAAGTCATTTGATTTTATTACTTAGTACTTTACTATCAGTGTATACATCAATACTGAAGTAATGATACTAGTTATAATAGTTTCAGAAATTATTAAATGTTTGAGTAATTGGTAAACTTTTTGGCAATATTTGTCTTCCTTATACACTACAATAGATGTTAGATCATTTAATCATAACTTTTAATTTCGGGGAACAATCAGATTGCCTTAACGAAACATTATAAAATATTTATTTAAGACAAAAATACATTTTTGTACATACAATGTATGAGAATAAGACAAAAGCCACTCCCATAACCGAACTTCCTTTTTTATATAAGTATATGAGCCGCGTCACGACAAAACCAGCATAATGGGTTTGCGACCAGCATGGATCTAGACCAGCCTGCGCTTCCGCGCAGTCTGATCAGGATCCATGCTGTTCGCTATCAGTTTCTCTACTTGTAATAGAGTTAGTAAGCGAACAGCATGGATCCTGAACAGACTGCGCGGATGCGCAGGTTGGTCTGGATCCATGCTGGTCGCAAACCCACTATGTTGGTTTTGTCGTGACGCGGCTCATATGTTGTACTATTCAAAGTTTCAATAACTATAAACCGTGTTGTATGAATGAATTGATGCATTTTATACTTTTAAAGTTAAACGAAGTTTCAATACTTGTATAACATATATTATGATGAAAGTCAATGAGAAATCGTGTAAAATACGGGCTACTGATTAGTGTTACAACTACATATTAATATTCGTTTATTTTTTCTATGTTTGAAAATCTAAACGTTTTAAGATTCAAGTGCTTTTTGTTAAAACAGTTTAATTGCACAACATATATTAGAAGGTCATTTATAGGGTATATATTTGAATGAAGTCAGATTCATAAAGCAGTCATATTTATTATCATATACTTTTATTTGAACATTTCAATATTTTAATTAAAATCAATACAAGATTTATTTCCTGCAGGTTATAATCCTACGAGGACATGAACAAACATGTTTATTTGAATACTGAAACTCTTAAAACGAATTAAGATATCAGTAAATAAACAGGAAAAATATGTATACGAACTATAATTTAAGGTGAAATTAGCTTGTTTATATCTCTGAATCAATTTTTCTTGTTATTATATGAACAATACTCACAAAAGGTATCAATAGTTATTCTTTTGCAGATGAACATCTCCGAAGAAGATCAAATGATGACTCTGAAGCAAACACAGGAAGTAATATTACAAAAGCTTCTTCCTGCGATAGTTACCTTGGTGATATTTTGTTTCATCGGACTCATCGGTAACATAGCAACGATTATATTCTACGCTCAACAAAGTGGCCGCTCCTCGACGTTTCTAATGATAACGTCACTGGCTGCAGTAGATTTAGCTGTATGCGTTGCTATGATACTCAGCATTTTGGAACTGTCGGTTTTAGTGACATCATACTACAGCATCGTCTGCAAGATGACCCATTTTTTAGGTCGTTGGTTTGTTGGCTCTTCTTGTTTCGTTCTTTGGATAATTTCAATCGATAGATACAGAAAAATATGTAAACCATTTGAAAAGCAAGTTACAGTCTTTAAAGCTAAAAAGATCGTTACAGGATTTATTTTACTCTCGTTATTGCTTTCAGTGAAAGAACTAGTACATTACAGTAGCATTAAAATCCCATTACATGTTTCAAATAGCAACTCGACTATAACAGGTTATTATTGTAAAGAATTAAATGGCACCGGATACAAAATCAGTATTTCTGTATTCAATGCCATTGACATGATATTATTTGTTGTTATTTGGATTAGTCAGATTGTTGTATACAGTCTGATTATTTACAACCTTGTCAAAATTCGAAACATGAAAGACAAATTGAAAGGACTACCGTACACAAAGAAAACAGTAGAGATGAGTCATGGCAAAGATTCCGATAGTTTAACATCCGGCGGACATGTTAATCAGACGATTGACGTTTCTCCTCGTGATAGAATTTCTAACGTTGAATTAAACGACAGTCGGTTAAATGCAACACAGTGCACATGTACGTCCTTGAACGCACAAGAAAACATATCAAACCAGGCTGAAGCGTTTGAAAAAGAACTCAAGAAACCCCAAACTGTCGAGATAGAATTATCAACTGAGAATTCTCAAAGATGTCAAGATGTTGGTTCTATTAAAACACTTCCTAACGACGGCAAAGGTCAAGGTCATGTAAATCGCATATCGCTGTCACATATTGAGATAAAATTGACCCTAATGTTATTTACTGTCTCACTAATATTTATCTTGTGTTTTACGCCATATTTTATTATGGTCATGTGGGCATTCAGTGCTGGAAAAGACTTTGAATTAGACGCTGGTATAAAATTTGCAATCCGTCTCCCATTTCTTAACAGTGTTTTTAATCCAATGATCTATTTTGCCTTTAATGCAGACTTTAGATCTTTTATTAAACGTTTATGTTTTGGACGCTGCACAGGAAGTTTTAGTATGTAGATTTTTAAAGACACAAAGTCATATTTATCAGTTTATGAACGTACTTTTCAGTGTAAATCAATAGACTATTTCGAATTTGTCTTATTATTAATATAGCATTTCGCAAACAATATATTCAAAGCTAATTCAAGCTGGATTCAAGCTTGTATAATATTATCATATTGATTACTGACATATAAAGATCAAAAAGTGTCATGGAGAGCTCGTTTTCTAAAAGCTACTTCATCAAAGTTGTAAACGATGTAAAAGTTAAAGTTTTATTTGATACATTAATTTTGCTCTTTTTAAGTAAACGATGTAAAAGTGATACATTAATTTTGCTTTTTACATTTTATGAGTTTTAAGTTATGTTGTAAAATATACTTGGGAATTATCACTAGAGCGATATTGTTGAAGCTAATAATATTATGATTACAAGGAAATTAAGAAACTATATGAACATAAACTTATACAATGTTATGTTACTAGTAACGCCTCGGTACAGACATTATTGCTTATATCATTATTTGTGTAATTGTTACTACGTAGCTACGTTTTAATTTTGTAATTGTACATCTAAGTACGTTACATATAGAATACTGAAGAAGTCGAGGAGTTATACATATTCACCATTATCACACGCCCGTGCCGATTTCGCGACTCGAAAAACGGTATTGCATGGTCGTGCATATATTTTGACATGACGTCATTTGCGTTATATAATCATAGCGTAAAGACGCACAAAATGTAAGCGTTAAACTATCGGCGTGTCAATGAAAACTGTTTCTTTATCACTTCAAACGGTTTTTATTTAATGTATGTGATAAATAGAATATTAAATTCGTGTAAGTTCATTACTACATTTATTGAACTCATTGAATAAAATAATATTATGCTCGCCAGAGGCTCGCATAATATAATTTTATTCAATTCGTTCAATAAATTCAGTATTAAACTTACACTCATTCAATATCCTTTATTTATATTTTATTCTAGATTGTATGATAGAAAAACAAAATCAAAGCACAGAAGGCGCTGAAATTGTTCAGGTCTCAGAATGTCAGAAAGGTGAAGGTTGTGAGATTGTAAACCAATTTGTTTTTGTAAAGTGCCACCAATGCTTTCCAGTGTTTTAACTGTTGTAAATTGGTTATAAGACTTATTGCAACACTGATATTCAATTCAATGTTAGGAAACTACCCGCCTATATGACTGAAATACTGTTGGAAAAAGGCGTAAAATGAAACAAACAAACAAACAAACAATTCAATGTTTATTTGACTTCAACAATTTGAAAAAAAGATGAGTTGCCTTAACTGGGATTTGAACTCCAGACCTCTCGATACCTAAGCGAGCATGCAAACCCCTCGGCCACGGTGAAGTTATATAATAACGGCTTGAAGAAAACCATATTATTCTAAATTAGGATTTGTAACTCATTTATTCGGCGCTAAACCTGTTGTAAATAATCATGAAGCTTACTATAAGCGTGTATATCTATAAAGAATAAATAAGAAATCTGAATTCGACCATTCGGGAATTATTTTGCTTGAATTATGCACGATTTTACGTGTAACATATGGCATTCGAGGCATTACGTTCACCAGAGACATGCTATCCATATCTCTGCGTTCACGCCGTCCATTTGTGAAATTTGGATTTTCTGCCCTCGAATTTGACGAACTAAAGGCGTAGTTTGATGAGAAATTTTCCGAAATAAAGAGAGATTTTGTCAATGCTCCTATTCCGCCAGCCATGAAAGTCAAAAGCTCTACAAGATCAACTTGACTATAACTGTGAGTTGCTTTCTATTGTTCAGAACTTGGAATGTCTTTCAAATCCTTTAGAGATCTGTGAAATAAGTGACATTTGTGCGAAAATTCAGAAGAAAATTAATCGCCGTGTCAAACTGATCAAATTAGCGGACAAATCTCCGGCAGGCTGGCTCGTTGTCAAAGCATACGAACAAGACGGTTTGGCAAGTGACGACGAGAATAGCAGTAAAATCAAAAACGCAGAGAAATCGGCTTTGGCAATTTTAAAAGAACGTGATGAAAGGAGAAAGTCATTTACTAAGTTCAACTCTGCGCAACGTTACTATCCTTATAACGTTAACAATTTTTCTAGGTCTGTCGGCGACAAATTTGCTATGGCATCTTATAATCCAGGGATTAGCAATTTTCGTCCCTTCACATACAACAACTAGTGGCGCCAGCAACCTTTCTACGGTCCAAGACCAACAGACCAATGTTTTGTCTGTGGTAAGTTCGGGCACTACCGATCTACCTGACCTCACAACATCTTTAACCGGAAGCCCAACAGAGGTGCAGTCTACCCAGATTCGGAACCTAAGAAACAGCGAAGTCGACGTTTCCAAGGATTAAATCATAGACTTTAAAGTTGAGTATAATTTATTTTTTCATTCTGTTTTCAGTTTGAAAGTAATAGTGACCATGACCTTTGACCTTGTGACCCTAAAAATCACTAGGGGTCTTCTACCCAATATGGACAATCATCCTATGAAGTTTGAACACAGTGGGTATAATGAAAATTCAGTTATGTTCCGAAAACTGTTTTCAGTTTTAAGGTTATAGTGACCTTGACCTTTGACCTTGTGACCCCAAAACCAAAAGGTTTTTTTAAACCCAATATGTACAATCATCCTATGAAGTTTGAATATTGTGGGCCAAATGGAACTTAAGTTATACTCAAGAAACTGTTTTCAATTTCAAAGTAATAGTAACCTTGACCGTTGACCTTGTTACCCCCAAAATCAATAGGGGTCTTCTATCCAATATGGACAATCACCCTATGAGTTTTGAGCACGGTGGGCCAAATGGGACTTGACTTATGCTCCGGAAACTGTTTTTAGTTTAAGTTCATAGTGACCCTGATCTTTGACCTTGTGACCCCAAAATCAATAGGGTCTTCTACCCAATATGGACAATCATCATATGAAGTTTGAACACTGTGGGCCAAATGGGACTTCAGTTATGCTCCAGAAACTGTTTTCAGTTTTAAGGTCATAGTGACCTTGACCTTTTACCTTGTGACCCCAAAATCAATAGGGGTCTTCTACCCAATATGGACAATCATGCAATGAAGTTTGAATATTGTGGGCCAAATGGAACTTAAGTTATGCTCCGGAAACCAAATTGCTAACGGTCGGACGTACTCACAAAATGGCACTTATGTGACTTTTTCTTTGATCTTTTTGGCCATTTTTAGTCACACAATGCTAAAAAAAGACACACAAGTAAAAACGGAATGAATAGGATCAAAGAGAATTTACTGTTACCCATTGTCACACAAGTACCTCTGGAGGTGGAAAGTATGATGGCAAAGTGGGAACAGGTCGAATATAGCTACAATGTCGATGAGGGTAAATTAAAGTTTTAGTTAGAAATGGTAGTACACATAATTAAAAGTTCACTATAAGCGTTACTGGTCTCTAGATAGCTTTCTTCAAGGACATGAGCGTAAAATAATGAGACGTTTTGGAACTTTGGACACGTATTGAAGACCTGAAGAGATTTTATTTCCGAGAGATCGGAAATTTAAGGGACTCAACTCCATAAATGGGATATAACACTTTTATGTTGGATTCTCCTGAATGCGTGTTCTCTCAGCGAAATTACAGATAAACAACCGAACCCGGATGCATTTGCAGACGCCATTGGTAAATTTCGGATAGTCAGGAATAAAATAGTTCATAAACCTTCTTTGAACATTTCAGATAATGACTACCAATCCTTTTTTAGAGATATCAAGGACTCCATTGAGACTTGTTTGGTTTATATAGATGATCCAGACTTTTCAGAAGATATAGACAATGAAGTAGAAGAAAAAGAGAGAGCTGCATTAACAAAAGAGGAAACAATTCGGAGACTACAAATTTGTCAAAAGGATACAGCTGAGCACGAATTGCAGTCAAACTATATACAAAGTATAGTTAAATTTTTGTCATGTTTGTTGGTTTCTGTTGGTGTTGTTTGTTTGTTTTTTTAATTTCCGAAATACTCATGATCTGAAATTGAATGGATTGATAATTATCGTAAGGAATGTGAATGATCTTTTGACGATTTATTATTATACATCTGCAATACCTTCAGGGCAATTCAGCATTATACGAGAGCGTTCAACAATTGTGCGCAAATTCACGGGCTCAACAATACCAGGTAATTTAAACATAAAACCTAATGATTCTTTAAACAACCGTTACTCATCTTTAAATATCTGTCTGTGATTGTTTTAAGTTTACAAACGGTAACCAAATAAAATTTACGTCATTCAGTTAGTATAAGACTGTTATGTAGGTTGCCAGCCAACATGTATCATGTATAGTATTAACTAGTGTAAATATTTCCACGATAACATTTTTAAATTAGCGTTAACGTTTCGTTTTTGACACGCTTCAAAAATTTATAAAAAGAGTTGAACATTAAACATTTTTTTAAATAAATTACACTAAATATCATAAGGAAAACCCGATTGGATATAAAATTAAAAAGAAATGTCAATGAACATGGTTACCTTGAAATACTATTTTAGAATAAAAAAAAGTTCAGCAAGACTAACACAAATATTGCGATTGAATGTTGTAGACTATTTTAAAGTATTAAAATGTAAAATGAAAAAAGAAATTTACTGCCGTTATCATTAAATAACTTACAAAACTTAGAATTTCATTTTTATTCGAAGGGTACTCCTAAGTACTGTTTTTTCTCTTCAAGACAAAATATATTAATATCATACGATAAATAAACAAAAAACAAAAAATCTATGTCCAAGGTATGATTTTCTTTGATCAGAACCATCATAAAAGTTACGAAAAAGGCAATTTGTGCAATTTATTTACTTTGATTTTATAAGAAGAAACTTCCACATTGGTTCCCTAAAAACGCAAGTCTATTAATAGCTCTATCTTTAATTAGGTGCGCATACAAATGTTTATGTTTTACTATTACCACGGTACATGTTCCTCCTTGTTAATTTGTGTCATAATCAGTAGAGTTAATACAAACACAGAAATTCGATTGATAATGTCTGGCAGAGCCAGACATCTTTATTGTCTAAGAATAGAATATGATATAATCAAAAGATTAACCAGAAAAAATGTTTATTTACATATTACATTCACCCAGTGAGGTACCCCTGTTATGAGTTACTGTTGGAAAACAAAATATCCTTATATAACTAACGGGAACTTTAAAAAAATCACACGTTCCATGCCTTTTTGCTAAATCTCGAATAAATAAATCTAAACCGCTACTTGTACTCTAGGCAGACGATGTTAGCTATTTTCTGCTATTTATGTATTGTCACTCTATCATTTGTAGGTCAATGTTCAGATGCAAATATTTTAGTTTCTTTTTGGGAAACAAAATGTTTGCACTCTAAATGAAACTAACCAATGAAACATACTAGTAGATAAAACAAAATTTCAGAATTACTTACTCCTGTTTCTACAATAAAACAAAAGGCAATTTGCATGTGAACCATATTCATAACCTTTTTTTTTTTATAGAATGCAGCCTTGAACTTGTTTTCAACAACTGTAGTGAAGACTGCGAGAAGAAACTCTCAGAAATATTGGTGGACAATATCAACCAACTTGTCACTGGAAATGGGACAGCAAACGATGATCTGAATAAAGCGCTTGTTAAGCTAATAGAAAGATGTGAACAAAAGGGTTGGAAAATCACTTCTGCAGAGAATGGCAGCGTTTTGCTGCATATAAAGTGTGAATCCTTTGACGATCTTACAAGCCTATACGAGATATATGGAAATAAAGGATCAACACTAGGTACTTCAGAACTGCAAGAAGTTGTACAGCGTGTATGGGGTTCGCAGGTGAAGATTTTATTATATGAAGGAAATGGACAAGTGCATAGAAAATATAGGTAACTTTTAATACTTATTTTCTGATATATTCCTCTAATTTGTGCTGATGAAAACGCCTTCTGAAAATAACATGAATCGTAAAAAAATCAGTTTAGAATTCATTAAAACAACACCTTTTAACTTTGTCTTTTCTTGCAGTTAACTTGCTGCTGGAGAAAATCAAACAAATTGCACATCCTGCTGCCAGTAAGAAAATCAGGTTATGGCTAGAATCTGATGTAAAACATCCTAAACGACTCGATGTATTAGATATCGAAACACGTGATGTGCTTGAAAATATAGTTAATGTCTTAAAAACCAGATATAATCTGCCGTCTTTATCGATTTCAACACAGAGACAAGGTAATCAAATTTGTGATATAAGTAACCACTACAATTGTTTTGCCCAATAAATCTAATGAAGAATTGTTTTCAGTCTTATCTTGTAAGACAATTCATTTGAATCTTTTGGTTAAAGTTACAAAACAAAACACTTTCTTACAAGTAAACTTTAGAGATAATATCAATTTATATAACTACTGCGCACATGTTACCAATTTTACATTTTAAGATAAATATATTAAATACAATTGTATTTAAAACACGCATCTATCTTCTTTTTCTGTATATGCAAAGACGAAAATACAATAGAGCATCTATTGAAAATGTCAAGACCGATGGAACAAGCATTAATGTCCAACACAACACCTCCTGACAGAACAATACAAGGTAAAATGTTCCATTCCATCATAGACTTTAAAGAGTATTATGACTTTCTTTACAAAAGAAATGACATAATCTTTATCGTGTTTTGGTTTACTTAAATAGATCTAATTATCATACCAAAAAAAACTTTCAGGGAACATAATTTACGTGACAATGATACTAAGGTTAATCAATTATAAAATATTCATTTCATATATGGCGATGTTAACGTTTTATTATATTCAATAATGTCTTTCAGACTTACGGCGTGAGTTGATCCGGGTTTATCAAACAAATAGGGGTTCACCTTTTGCAGGCGATTTTTACGTCCCTCTTGATCTCGAGGTGACTACTATGAACAATGTTGAACCTTCATGCCAATGTCAGGGATGTGGAAGAATAATTGCAGATAGACGGCCTGGTAGAAAATTGCAAAACTATCTTGAAATATTTGAAAATATAGGCTGTCAGTATTGTTTCATTTACATATTAGGAGAGGCTGGGATAGGCAAAACGTCACTATGTCGAAAAATTGTTTTAGACTGGAGCACGATGCATTACAATTTGAATAAAGAGAATGATACTATCAACGACAGCTATAATACTTATTCGTCTAATTTGAGAAAATTTGATTTCTTATTCCAAATTTCTGATGTGGATGCGAATAAGAATATGGAAAATATTTTAGCTACCCAATTTGGCATTCCTGAAAGCACTGTAATGGAGTACTTACAAAGACGCAACTGTTTGATTGTTTTTGATGGCATTGATGAATGGGCTGACTCAGGGGAAGAAACAGCCCACTATGAACTCCTTAAGATGAAATCTGCATACAAATGCACACTATTAATAACATCAAGGCCATGGAAAGTATGGATACCTCCCGACGAAGAAGATATACGTACGGTAACAATAAGAGGTCTCTCTGTTGCTAGCAGATATTTGATGATAAAACACCTGTTGAATGTCTAAGATATATATTCCATCAAAAAATATCATGACAAATATACATTTATATCAAAATCCATGTATGAAGTTCAAAGAACCAAAGAAGATGACCTAGTGAGATTTCCCCTGCTGTTGAAAATGTTAATCGACTCCGAC